TTCTCCTCATGGCTCTCCACGAGGTAGGAATGAATCCTCTTTCCTCCTCAGGGTTTTTGAACTAACATTTCAGAACCCCAACATTGTGTACCATCTGTAAAACATTTTGTACCAATTTTCTTTCAGATTGTAGCTTGGAGTAAATATTATGGATTTAATCCATAATTCTTCCCTTTGTTGTGTTGTGACAGTTTCTTTGAAGTTTTGCACCCATTTTATCATAAGGTTTTTTATTTGTTCTGTCTCTATGTCATATCTAAGTAGGAATTTGTATATGCACCCTAACAAATGGTATTGGTTTTGTATGAGCATTTCAAATTCTGTCATCTTTCTTAATGTCCCTCCCTCATTCTTAACATCAGATTTTTTTTCTTCCTAGCATTTTTCCCACATGTGCAGAGTCCGTTTTTTTTTCCCCAGATCAACCAAATATTTATCCATTGGCTGCGACAGGAAGTGACTGACTGGCTTATTGCCCAATCCTGATATCATGGGCTAAGAGAGAGTGACTGGCCCAAAGTCACCCAGCCAGAGAAATCAAAAGAGATCTCAGAAGGTGGAGGGATCTAAAGCCAGGATCAATTGCAATCATTAAGATGAATTTATTACCCAAGATCCATTATTTGTTCCAAATGGCCTCAATTTCAATCCCAGAGAGAACCTTACAAGAATGGCAAGAAATTGTCAGCAATTTATATGGAGTGGGAAAACATCCAAATTAAAATTTTTACAAGTTCAAAAGACAGAGGTGGTCTTGCTCTTCAAAACTGATATTGTATCAGAAAGCAAATTGCTTGTCATGCATAACAGTGGATAAAGTTCCTGAATAGTTGAATATCAATATTGGAAGAAGCTGATGGACTTCACAGATATTTATGATAGAGAGACACAAAGGAGGATAAACATTTAAAAGGACATATTATCAGACAAAGTTTGATAAAAACAGAGAATTCTATAAGGAAAATAATAAGCCCCACAATTTCACTGTTAGCCTCTCCTTCAAATGCCTTCCATATTGGAGATAATTACAGTAAGAAAAATGTAATCACATAGGCAGACATGGTCCACTCAGACTCAATGTATGGATTAAAGACACAGCAAGAATTCTTCAGTAAAGGCTAGAATATGGATGCTTTTGAGGCAGTGGATAGGGGGCTATGTGGAGTCCTAAGTAATCCACAGGGACAGAATGTTTCATACCATTTTATTTCACTACTTAATCTCTTCTTTTATGACACGCTCATGCCAACAGTCTAGTGTTAATTAATACAAAGTGTTCAAAGCAGAAAGTATAATTTGCAAAAAAAAAAAAAAAAATTACCCAGGGCTTACCAGATTCTTTTACATGTGCATCCTTCTTTGGCCAGTCTGCTAAAATAAAAGGGTAAAAGGGTTATGATAAATTTTCGATAGCATACTGTATCAATATGCTTCCAGGAAGCAGAAGTGAGAAAATAGAGTGTTGCTACCTATTTCTATTGGCTTTTCTTTCTTGTGTGGTTCTGGAAAGTAAGAGGAAAACAAGAGCATTATTCCTGCCCTCGAGTGTTCTTAGTAAACAGTGCAGTTCTTCCGTACTTAACAGAAAATGAAATGATAGACTGAGGTCACTTATAGACAGTGAGGGTTCTCATTCTTCAATTAAAATAAAGCAGAGTTTGAAAGAGCAGTCTGTTTTAGATTACAAGACAGAAGAAGAATGGACATGTTTTGCTTGTTTGGAAATTTACAGTGCTCAGAGAGTACCAAGGGTGAATCAGAACTTGCTTTTCCAGAAATGAGGAAAACAAGGAATGCCTTGTCCAACCCCTTCACTTTCTCGCAAGAACACAAATCTCTTCCCCTCCCCCCACCCAAAAAATTAAAAGAAAGTAAACTGAAAACCTATGGCCATAGAGGTAAACCACCTATAGAGAGAAATAAAGGTCTTTTTCCTTTATATCTAAATGGACAGGTCATGTACAAGGAAACCAAGCTAATAAATTAGTATGCATGTCAGAATATCCTAAAAAGGGGGAAATGACTAGTCAGCATTTGAAAAGACCATCTAGGGAACAAAGAACCTTCGTACGTGCAAACTTTCTACAGTTTAACTATGTATGGCAAATCATACATTGAACCAATGAGAAATGGACACAATGAGCTATGCGTGTTTATAAATACTGTAACTATCCCAATACTGGTGTCTGATTCTGTGGGATAGATCCAATGATCATTGTTGGATAAGCTTTTCTCTTTACCTGTTTAGGTAAACTTTATTCGTTAGGCACAGAATCATTATTCCATAACAACTTGGTGTTAGAAGTGGGATCAGAAGCAGTGATTGGTAAGTAGTTGGGGAAACAGGATCTGGCATCACTGAATGATTTTGTTCTTATCACCTTGCCCTTGTCCATCCCTTCTCTGATCCTGGCTTGGTGAAGAGAAATGTGTAAAGGGTGCCAGCTGAGACCAAGAGACCCCATCCCTTCCCAAAATCATCAGAGTTTGTGAGAGAAACTCATAAGAGCCTGTGAGTCCAGCTCAGTTCTTACTGCTTCCAGTGAAATTATCTCAGGTGGCTCCAGATTTTCATGGGGAAGACCTGCCCAATATATGCAAAATGCTAATGGATCTCACAGTGTGTGTGCATGTGTGTGTGTACATACATGCATATACATACATACACACACATGCATATATATTATAGGAAAGCAAGTGAAAATACATGGAGAGGTTATTATATGTGGGAAGAAGAGGCAAGCAAAAGAAAACAAAGGTTTCAGATAAGGAGCCTGAAGGCAAACTAATGAGAAATGAAATAAACAGATACAAGTAGTCCTCGCTTAGTGACCACAACTGGGACCAGGAACTTGGTTACTAAGCAACTTGGTTGCTAAGCAGAAAATCACATGACCACAACTGGGCTTATGACCTTACTTCTCCTTTGGTCATTAGGTGAAGCGACATAGTCGCTAAGTGAATAATCACATGACCGCAACTTACAATTTTACTTCCGCCTTCCATACTGTACAGTATTAACTCTGCTTGTTGGAAGTGAAAATGCACATCAGTTGTGAAGCACGTGAATGGTGATCACATGATTGAGAGATGCTGCAACAGTTGTAAATGCGAGGATTGGTTGCAGTTATTTTTTTTAGCACCATTGTAACTTCAAACAGTCACTGCATGAGGCAGTAGGTAAGCAAGGACTACCTGTATTTCAAAGAAAGAAAGAATGGCTCCAGCAGCACCTGTTCTGGACCATCAACAGGTATGTATTCTTAATTATCTGCTGATAACAGGTCCCAGAAGAACACCATAATTCAGCTCTTGCGTGACCTCTACTCTGCCTTCTCCAACTACCTTTTTTTCTGTTTTATTCCCTGAATTACTACATCTTCTTTGCCTGTATACTATCAGCCTCATGGCCTACTTCAAAAATTGAATGTGTACTTCTTCCTCAAATTCCTCAGTCTTCCCTGACTAGAGTTGTTACTGAAGAACTCCAATCCCTTGTTACTGAACTACAATAGGCCTTTGTTCTCCATTCTTTTCAGCACTTTACACAATGATTCACGTTACCTTTTTGCTTTGACTTTTAATCATGAGCAACTCATGTGGCCAGAATTTCACAGAACTACATAGAGAATCCTACACTGTACGTGTACTCTGTGCTGACTTTAGTCATCCTTTTGTTCCTATGCAAAGCTCTAATTTTGTTATATATTGATGACCTCCTGGTTGGGGACAGAGATGATACTTATGCACATTTGTGCCATCTAGTGGACAATAGGCACAAAGCTAATCTGTAGAGGCTGCAATTTTGTAACTCTCAAGTTTTCTATTTGAGTCATCAGGGTGAGCATCAATTATCTCCTTAGTGGGTGCAGGCTATTTTACAATTATCATCCTTCTGGCAATGAAAAAGAATTGTATTCTTTTCTTGGCATGGTTAGGTTTTGTTATTCCTGGATTATTGACTTTGCTTCTCAGGTTGAACTCTTACAATCTCTTTGTCTTTTACTTGGACTGAGGACTATGACCAAGTTTTATATCAGTTGAAGCAGGCATTGGTTTCTGCTCCTGTCCCTGGTCTCCCTAGTTATTCTTTAGCCTTTGTCTTGTATTGCCATGAACATGATTGTATAACCCATGGTGTCCTTGATGAACCTCATGGTAATTGTCTTCACCTAGTGGCATACTACAATTACAAGCTAGATCCAGTCATTGCTGCCTTTCCATTCTGTCTCTGTACTGTTCAAGCTGCTGCCTCTTGGTGGACAAATCCTCTGAACTTGTTATGGGATCTGCCCTCATTAGTCGCCTTCCTGTGTCATTGCTTGCCTTGCCCTTGACTCCCCAACAACTGAGCAAATTGGAAGTGGCACTTCAGAACTCTCCAAATGTTATTGTCATCCTGAAGTTTCCTTCTTTGATCCATCCTCTCTTTTACCCTATCTCCTGATTCTTTTTTTTTTTTTTCCCTGATCAAGATTGACTCTTTTTTCCCCCACTTGCCCACTTAGGCCAATCTAATGGATGCACAAAAGGGAGATAAAACTGAAATGGAAAAATATTGGTGGATGTCTGGAATCACATCTGTATTATAATAAATGGTCTAGACCTGCACTGAATGTCTACAACACAGCACTGAGAAGTCTTTATGGCATGGTTTTCCAAACTGTGAGGTGTACTTCCCTTGGGGAGGTACAGACAGAAACCAGGGGAGGTGTGAAGAACTTTGTAGTTGTACATTTTACAATAAATCCACCTTTCCCAAAGTTTCATTGTATTGTTTTTATTGTTCATTTGTGTTCATTTTGGTGTTTGGATTTTTAGGGGGGGTACGTACATTAAGATTAAATGGAGGTGTGATGGCAAAATGTTTAGGAACCCCTGCTTTATGGCCTGTGCCCTTGTCCTTCTGCTTGCTGGAATGACCCTTTCTTAACATTCAAATGGACTTTATTGAAAAAACACCGGCCCAAACTTTAGTCTTGTACAGTAGTAAAGCCAACACTGTTACTGTGGCTTAGCTGGTAAAGGAATTGGTCCCTTGCTTTGGTATATCTGACTGTATAACATTCAGATAGAGGTATACACTTTGTCCCCCATTAGCGGGAGATGGGTGGAGATAAATAAATAAAATAAATAAATAAATAAATAAACAAACAAACAAACAAACAAACAAATAAAGCCATTATTACCACACTAACAAAGCATTTCAAATTGATTTGTAGTTTCTTTGAATTTATAACTGCAAGAGTACTGGCTTGATGTAATGATTGAAGGGGGTACTGAAAAGCAAACAATCCAGTCTAATGTGTCCTGGTGCTCTTCTCCTTGCCTTAGTATTCATGTCCAGCCATCCTAACAGGGCCACTGGATTGACTCCACATTAAATTCATATAGGCTGCCATATGAGAATCTATGTTTCACCACTACAATCAGCCAGTTAGCTTTGACTGATAATAAATTTGTTGTCTGCAGTTAAGGAAAGTATTGAAGACTATAAACAGCACTGTCCTGTCATTTGATGCCAAATCCAACCTGGGATAGAGCGTTGTCCAGGCAGATTAATGGGCATTTGTAAAGGTCCAGTAGTAGAAATCATCCTTCCAACCATGATGGAAAGGGACCTTCCAAGTTCTTTTAATTATACACTTAGTAGTAAAATTTGCCTGCCAGCATTTCTGGATCCATCAGATACACTGTAAGTTAACAACACCATCCCCACCCCCAGCCCCCACCTTCCTGAAAACTCCTTATTTTCACAACACATGGACAGACTTAACCATAGTTTCAACTGGGAAACTGTCAGCATCTTAGACCAAGCTAAATCCAAAAATGTGAAGGAATTCTTGGAACCTGGTATTCAGACAAGGCAGCCATCAACAGGCAAATAGAGATAAACAATATCTACATACCATGCAAAAGAGACAATAGAAAGGAAAACAAGAGATCAGAACATTCCCTCACCAGCAATCATCACCCAGATAAGCAGAGATTAACAACAAGATTACCACCAAACATACATTCAAGCAGTAAACAATACCCTAATCAAGGAACTACTGTGGGGGGGGGGGAGGATAAAACAGAACAAAACCCATGCCCCCACCAACACTGGCAAGGCAGGCCACAGCAGATAAATAGAGAGCAAACCCCAGCCCATTCCAGCACTGAAGATGTTACCTAGCCGGGTAACAAAATGTTTGCAAGAAAACAACCAAGTTCAGAAAACCCCAAGGACTCCACTCTTACACCTATTCTGCACAGCAGTACTCACTTGTGTGACTGGTTGTAGACTAAACATCACTGGAGTCAGGTTCAGGAAGCTGTTATCCTTAATTACAGCAACTTTTCTTGGTCTGCCTATCCAGAGTACAATCATTCTGATTTTTTAACCTTTGAACCTTTTAGATATTTTCATTATTTTTAAAAGTATATTTGTAGAATTCTGGCCTTCTAGGTTACCACCTCACCTTACCTGCCCAATTATCCCAGGCAATGTATGAGGGAT